CAATAAATCTGCATATGTTGTTTACATCATAGCTTCACTTTATTCAGCCTTGCACACAAGGTCACAAAAGAAATTTGGGCCTCATTATTCCTGGAGGAGTTTGTATTTTTTGCTGTGGTGTTAGATTACCTTACCCTTTTTATTACCATCTGCACTGCAAGGCTAGTTTTGCTGAGGTTATTTTTTTTAAGCAGCATCCCATGATACCCTTAATTCTGTGTTTCCTGTGCTTTTGCTTCATTTGCAATTTTAAGAAATTTTCTCTAAGAAATAGATTTGTTCTATATTGTACAGTAATAAATTAGCTATTTTTACTATATAAATTTAACCCTTTAATTCTTGAGGACAAATGCAATTGTTTTACAATAAATTAAGAAAGGATTTCACCTGTTCACATCCTTCAGTGTATGGGGAGAAAGATGGTGTCAAACATTACATATTTTTAACATAATGTTGTTAATATGCTGTCCTTTTGCATGGGATTTTTATTTTGATACCTTTGTTTGTGTATTTTAAGCAATTATTTTCAGCTGACTTCTTTGTGCAACCAATGCCAGTGACTGCAGTAGCTTTGGAAATAGTTTTTCTTCATTAATGGTTTCTGGTGAATTGTTGGGAGAACAAAGCACTGTCCCTAGTGGCTCCTGAAACTTATGGAAGCATGCAATGAAATAGCTATTATTTGTCATGGAAAAAAAAAATTAGAGTACTACTTTTAATAGCTTTATACAAGCATGAACAACTTGAACTATAGAGATGAAATGAATCTGAAGTTTCTTCAGTTGTTTTTCAGCCCTCAAGATATTGTTCATGTTTGTCAGTCTTCAAAATTGAGAAGCCCCTTCCATGTGCTTGTCCACCCAAGCATGGTGAAACAATAAATACAGAAACCCAGTTTTTCTGGGCTCTCCACACATGAAGGCACTGGGTAACAGGATCACTTTTCAAAAGACAGGTCGACCTGCATTAAGTCTTTGCAGTCTTTCAGAAGCTGAAGTGTTGTGTGCTATTTCAGAGAATTTATGGGACCTCAGACTGTGGGGTACCAGTTTGCTGGGATGGGAGGCAGAAGAGAAGAGGGTGTTCTTCACCATCCCGTGGGTGTTTGCTGCCTCACTGGTCGCCCTAGGCAGGACTCAGTGCTCTCAAAAGTCCTTTGAAGTAGCTTGGTTTAAAGCCTGAAACTCATTCCAAGAAGCGCAGTACCAAGGGGGATAGTTAGCAGCCCTCACTTTAGTACCTTCAAGTGTTGTCAGTTGATCAGCATGCAGATCAGAGATGGGATTTCTTTCAGTTATGACTGACAGTTTTGTCTGCGGGATATTTCCCACATCTTTCCCATAGACCTTAAATGGCTGGTCACTTGTGTATGAAAATGACCCAAAGCATATCTATGTCATTTCCATGAACTTGAACAGGAAGGCAGCCTGTAGAAAAAAAGGCACACTGTGAGGCAGAGTGAAGCTTTGAAGTGAAATCACATTTTTTTTATTGGTTGTAGAAAGCAGTGATAAAGCACAATTCCTTGTCACTGTCATGTGATGGCAAATCAGATTTGCCTGGGTTTCTCAGCCAGTTGTACAATGAACAGTGGGATATGGCCTAATGTTTTCCAGATCTGTTTGGAATAATGCAGATGAGAATCTATATAGGAAACTGAGAATTGAAAATACAGATGAAATATCTGAAACCAATATATCAAGGATTTTTCACTTTCCTATTAATTTGGCAGCATGCCATTATTATGGTGTAAATTTCTTCCTCATTACTACAGAATAACAAAATGTCTTTGACCATAATTTTTCCCTCCTGAGGTTGCTGTTATTATCTGTAATTTCCACTAAGTTCCCTGTTAATAGTTCTTGTTTCGCTGTACACTGATGTTACTAGTTGCTACACACCTCCAGAAAACAGAATATCTCATATAAATATTTTGTACATGCCTGTTTCATGTTTTCCTTTTTTCTTAATTAATATGGATAAGACATGTTGTAGCAGAGGCTGAAGAATCATATTTAGATTTGTCAATCTACTCTACCTTTGCAATTACCTTACTTTGTGTTATGCAGAGTGCTCACATTTGGCACTATATTTCAGTATAGTTCTGAAGTGAATATGTTATTTGAAACATAGAGTATTTCTGGCATGAGTTATTGAGTTATGGAATAAAAAATTCTGCACAGACTAGAGTTCATCTCTATTCATGTATTTAATGAAGTATGATAGGAAAAAGAGGTTGTTAGGAAAGTTTTGTGTGGTTTGGGTTTTGATTTTGTTGGTGCTGTTCTCCACCTTCCCACTTCCCCCTTTCATTCTTCTGTGTCATCAGTCACTGAAGTATATCAAATGCTAATTTCTACTTTTACATCTAAGCCTGTCTGAAGTATTCAATCATTTTCTCTTGTGCCACCTTTATAAGGGAAGTATGCATGTCTACTTGTTCCATTCTGGCAGATGTCTTTCATTCTCCTTGTCATATGTCAGGATTGGTTGTGATAGAATTGATTTTTCTCTGTTAAGAATTCAATTTTTTTCAATTATTCTTTCATCCTTCTGGAGCTTCTTTGCTTGTGAAGGTTGGACACAGACATGTGGAATCGGGAAACTACTGATAGACCATCTTTATCATAGGTGTGTTTGCATTAAGAGCACCCTTCCAACATGAGAGGGGTTATAGATGGGGAGCTGAGACCTCCCGTGTGATCACAGCTGCTCTGACACACAGAATGCTGATATTGGGTATCCTAATGAATCACAGGTTGAAAAGTGGCAAACCTGTGCTTCCACTTCCCTGGCAGAGGCGATGGTTTCCTTCTGCAGGTCCTGTTGTTTGGCTGTGCTCTGAGCTGGACTTAGGCTAAAGTGAATGGAGTTTGAGGAAGAAGAGGTTGGTTTGTGCAGTTGAGAGAGCAGCTGAGCCTTGCACAGACACTGCTCAAAGGAAAGTGCTGAACTGGTGGGGATAGGAAGGACCTCGGGTGGAAATGATTTGTCAACCACCAAGCGAATCCTTGCATGCACTTGAGTCCTTGTCCAGTATTCCTAAGGACTTCTTCCTCTGTAAAGGATCATGGAGAAAGTGCTAAGCATGTGTGCTGTTTTTATGTTGTGTCTCAAGAAGTGCTAAGGTTGGTAGAGATTGTGGTGGTGCTGCTTATAAAAATACTCTTGAGGTTTCATTGCATACTTGTTTACTTTTCCTGCTTGGTTTGGAAAATCATTTAGTAATCAGGTTAAAACAATTCAGTTGGATATTATGAGCACAGGATAGATTTCAAACATTCTTTCTTCCCCTTAATTTTACAAAATATCATTCTTGCAGTAGCATCTTGGAGTCTGTTGAGCAGAGATTTTGGGTAAGTAAAAACAAAAGTTCAGCTGAGGTAGAATAAGAGGCCTTGGTGTCTTGGGACAGAGAATGTGCTTGTAGCTCGTGGCTTGGCATCCATAGTCTTCTCAATAAACAGAAAAGTTTAGAATAATGCCATTGAAAGTGCAGTATCACATGATTTTTAGTTATCTTTTGCTAATATAAAGTACTACAAAAAACCATTTTGAAAATCAATGACAATGTGTCCAGGATGGGCATGGAATATTGCAAGGAACTGCTTATCCAATTTCACTGTGTCACCTGAACATGAACTTTGGTATAGAACTCCTCAGAAAGGACAATCAGGTTTTTAACACTTAGCAAAGACAGTTTCATCCATTTGAAGATGTTATCTGCCTCCCCACCTGGGGCTGCCTGACTTGGGGAAATACTCAACACTTCATAAAGCCAGTTATGGCCTTAAGGTAGAGAGGGCAGCCGTTGTTTCCAGCGTTGTTTCATCTCAGGGTGAGGGACTTTCCCCGTCTCGCTGTGTCGCAGTGGGAACACTGAGTGCCATGGGTTGCCCAAATGTGAGCCTGTAGGAAGCTCCTGCTGTGACCAGGTGATGTGGATCTCTCAAAAACCCATTCCCCCTTGGCTTTCCAAACCTGTTCTGGTTTAACTGCTTCAAACCTGCTGCGGGGCACAGCTCTAAGTTTGAGCTAGTTAAATCTGAAATAAAGTCTGAAATAAATCTTCAGCAATGCTCATACAAACTCTTCCTTTCTTAGCTCTATAAGTATTTGTTTAGCCTTTATACTTGAGCTGATTTTACCTTTTGAGTTGATGTTATAGTTTATGTGAAGATTATTTCTTCTAGCTGAACTCCATAGCTGCTGCTGAATTAGGGCTTTACTCTAGTGAACATGTTCATGCATACACTACTTCCTTTATTATTTTCTATCCTTTTTCTCAAACTTTTTGCTATAATTACAGTAAATGATTTCTTGGATTGCATGTTGAGAGGGCAGAATTGCTGTGCCAGCAGCCTTGTTTTATTCTTCTGCTGGCTCCTGAGGGTAATAAGCTCTATGCACTCTACGAATTTTCTTGCATACTTAGCTGCAATTGCAACCTTGAGTAATTATTTTTTAATTAACTCTAAAATATTGCATGGATAATGCAAAATTAAAAAAACCGGAAAAATTAAAAAAGCTCTGGAAGTTGGTATTTTTCATATTTCAAAACAATAAGCATTATTTCTTTGAATTTTTATGTAAGGCATTAGTAGCATGGTGACATTAAATGACCTGCATAGTTGTAGAAATATCAGAGGTATGTTGTAAAAGAGAGTTTGACATTTAGATGGGAATCAAATTATTTTCATAATTTGTCATGAGAATTTCTCAGAGCCTTCAGTAAGATCCATGTCTAATACTGAAACTTCTACTTTACTTTTTCTGGATGTTTGCTTTTTAATTAGCAGAAGTTGGCTAAACATTGTTTTTGCAAAACTCATTGACTAATTCTGTTAAAAGAAAAAATTGTGTATATTTAGATATCAACTTACAGATCAGTTGGTCTGGGTTGTGGGTGTAAAAATGGGCAGTAAATGTTTATGACCGTGAGTGAAGGCAACATAAAAAGTGGCTTTTAATAAATTCTGGGTTCTGGGCTTGTTTTGTAGTGGATGGCTGCATACACCGAGCTGCTGGGCCCTGCTTAGTTGCTGAGTGTCGCAGCCTGAGCGGCTGTGAGACTGGACAGGCCAAAATTACCTGTGGATACGACCTACCTGCAAAATGTAAGTCAAGCCTTTCTCAGCATTCTTGTTTCCAGCATGTGTTGCTGGTGTGCACGGTTCATTTCCCTGCAGTCTAATTCAACGGGGTATTCATTTTACAGAATTAGCAGTGGGACTTAATTAAGCATGTTCTGTAATAATGTCTTCCCCTCAAAGCAATTCAGGCTTTTCTAAATGATTATTTCACCTATGTTATGCGATGAAAACGTACATGTCTCTAAAATATAAAGCATCTTTCATGTTTATTTTTTGCAAGCTAGAACCTATCCGTTCATATGCATAACAAAGGATTGGAAATGCTTTATGAAATATGAACAAAATATGCATTATCATATTTAAGTTCCGCGGAGACAGTTTTTTGAAATGTTGCATATTTGATGTTCTTCATGCTGATTCCTTGATTGTGAATACTTTGAGGGCCCAGGAGATCAAAGTGATGTATTGTGTTTTCAGCTGCTGTGTAGTGTCTGATTGGCAATTACTGTGAAGGCATCTGTCACACTTTAGCTTTCGACAGAGTACAGCTTGGTTCTGGAATGTTTTTGCACTTTGAAAGTGGAATTGTGTAAAATTTTCCTCCTATTTCAAGTAGGAAGATGGTTATTTGACTGTGTTGTGTACATGTTGAGCTTGTCTTGCAAACACTAACATTTTCACAGCACATTGGTCAGCCAGTCCATTATGTGAGAATAAAAAGTAGGAAATCTTTGCAAATTAGGATCTTATAGAATAGTATATTAAGACATGAAGATACAACTACCAAAAAGCATTGCAGACTTCATATAACTAAAATTCAACTGTTTTTCTTCTTTTTTTTGGGATGTGCAGGCTGCAGCAGGAACATGGCTCATTCAAAAATATCTAGATTTCTCTTAACTGCCATGTAAATTAAATGCTGGCTGCAGTAGCAGGTATCTCTCTAGGCTTCTGTAGTCCTTCACGTCTTAGGTAGATATGAAAATTGTTTTCCCGGTAATTTTTTTGCTCTTTCTACGATGATGATGATGAGTTATTTCCAGTTACTTCCTGGACAGTGGTAACTTCTATGTGTGGGAAAACTTTGCTCTATTTTATATGTAATTTTACCACATGGTAATGGTCATTTATGAAAGGCTAATTTGACTAGAGGTCAGGGAAATTGTTGAGGAAGATTCAATGTGGTAGTTAGCTTGGGTTTGTATATGCCTCAAATCATCACCAGATTCCCATAAAAAGGATTGTTGGATGACACATCATAATTTACTCTTCTAGGGATGTTTGATGTTTAATTCTTGCCCTTTAACCAAAAAGTAACTCTGGAGGGACAGAAAAGCTGCTCATCAGTAGGTGCATTATTCCTCCCATGTATTTTAGTGATAGAAATGAAATACAAAGTATCAAGGCAACTGATGTGTGTTAGAAAGAGGAAGGGTCATGTCTGAGGTGAGACCTCCCTTTAAATCTTGCAGCAGTTCAAGGGGCTGCTTAAGTTAGGTTTCAAAAATGGGATCCTGTTTGAAAGCTGTAAGAAAATCTTAGTTCTTTGTGTAGGGATAATAAACAAAACAATTAGAAAACTCATTATCACTTGAAGTTGGAAATAAAACCTGTTACCAGGCATGAGGAAAAGCCAATATTCTTCTTAATCAGTATTCTTAGAAATTGAAATTGCATCAAAGCCATGTGTGTTTCTATTTGATCATGCATCAACATGAGAAGGGAAAAGGATACCTTTCACATCAACAGGCACAGGGAGAGAAACATATTATTTTCATGCAGAGACTGAGAATTTAAAACTTTCGAATTCTTAATTTTTTTTTCCTGAAAATATATTTGTGTTCTCACCAACTGTTGTTTTCTTTTACTTTTGCCTCCATAAGCTTTAGTTTGTGCGCTCATTAAATTATTGTACCTTTTAAACCATTCATCTGAAAGTGATCAAGCAGTCAGGACTGGTTTCATATTTTAGAGAGCTATAAAGCTACTGGATATCTTTTGTCACTCTCTGTCACTTTATCTTAATAATATGACAGTTTAACTGTGGGAACTATTTTACATTTGACTTTGCTGAGGAAGGCAAAGGAGGTGCTGTGAAAGGAGGTCCAGACTCTCCCATCCAGATCTGCTGTGAGGCAAGGTTGTGTGCCAGCAATTTGCTGAAGGTTATGGTTTACTGCTAACTTCCAACTTTCACAAGCAGTTTGCTTTTTATTGATCTGTTTGTGGATAGGGGAACAACTACAATAATCAGTTAACACTTTTTTGAGTCATGATTTATTTATTCTATTGTCTGTTCTTCTTGTTATTGTAGTTGGACAAACAATTATAGTAAATGTAAAATGAATTTCTTACTTAGCATGATGAATGGTTGTGTTTGGGTGGGGTATTTTTTGTTATTTACCAGAATTCTAAAATGTTACAGTTTTGTTTCCTACCCCTGGGATTTTCCCATTTCAAGTTTTTGATCCTGAATTGCTTTGCTTGGAAACAGTTTGCTGAATTCAGCAAAGCTGTTCTGGGACACAGCAGCCTGTGTGTGTTGTCTGAGGCAGGGCTTGGGCTTTAGCAAGGACTCCATAGTAAAAAGGGTTTAGTATTCAAAAATTGTGCAGCATATTGTTTTCTTTTATAAATGAGTTGGAGGAAGTTGAGATTAAGTTTGGCACCAAAGGGAAGGTATGCTTCGTTAGTAGTTGGTAAATAAAAACCACTCTAGCCATCTCCTTTATGATCTATTGTATTTTTATTGAGTACTTTGCTGTATTTACTTAGGTTAAACAAGAACAGGTCTGACAAATAACTTCTTCATAGTGGAAAAATTGAAAAATAATATCTGACTGAAAAATGTAAAGATTTAATGTATAGGTTGGCTTTCTGTGATTTATTCTTGGTGCATCTGAGTCAGAAATCAGTTTGTGAGTACACAAGTAACAGCAAATGTTCAGAGAGAGGATACATACAATAGTTCATAATTTTCCTCAGCTCTTTATTGTAATAATGTGAACAGACCAAGATTAACATGTCTGTGCCCTGGGGATTTTTATTTATGAACTTTTCAACATATACACTTTTTTATGCCAAAAAGTATTCTGTTTGAAAATAGAAAGGAAGTCAAACTGAGTTTTCTAATTACTGGTTAATGTAACATTCAGTACAGTTTTACAGAAATCAGTGTAATCACCATCTGCCTCCTGTGCTGCAAAAGCCTACACAAAGCCCCCCCAAATGCCAACCAAGTTATTTGCTGAATACATAATTTGGTTGATGTAATCTATTGTTGTTTTTCAAACACCTATGCAGGCACCCAAGTTTCCATAGTGCTCTGGAGGGCTGAAAAAGGCAGTGCCTTTTGCTCTGAGATAGTTTCCTTTAAAGCCGTCCCACACTGATCATCAATTGTTTAACTTCTGTACTTCATATTGTTATTCCTTTTAAAGAACAGTTCATTCTAAATATTGTACAGCTGATCTTCAAACATTGAGCAGTACTCTGATACTGACATGCTTTAAATAACAGATGAACAGTATCTGTTTAAAGCTCTACTAATGCTTGTTTTCTTTCTCATTTGATTAATAGTCTCAGTTGGCTCTACTGGCAGAAAATGGTCTGGATGTAAATTGTGTTTATGGCTGGAATGAGGGGTCCATAACAGCTTGGTGGATTGTTATCTGCTTGCAGAGGTTCACTATAAAAAAAGACCCTGTCAGGAAACATTAGAAAATACAGTCCCATTCTGCCTGGTATTTAACAGGCCTAAAAACAATTGAAAACCAGCACAGGCATGTGGTACCCTGACCTAGGCAAGAAAGGACCCCCAAACTAACTTTTTTCTATTGTTGCCAAGACTAGTAACAATTTCTTTCTTTTTCTGAAAAATGTCTGATAGTGAAACTCCTAAATCTACGAAAAAAAAAAAATCCTACAGCATCAGATATGGGCTAGAACCAACCATGAGTAAATCTAAAAGGTGGACTTTTGGTGGAGACACCTTGCTAGGCAGTTTCTAATACAATGGTTTATGTTCATAATAAATCTGTAATATTTAGAAAATTTTTTTCTGTTTGCTTGACATTTTTAGTACTTTAAGCACAGTCCCTGAGTAAATAGCATATATAGGAAGTCTTCTGGTCCAAGATCAGCCTGGAGTAATAATGTGAATGTGCTCTCAGAGACAGCTCCTGCTGTGAAATAAGTAGTTAGGAGAAGTGCTAGTATTAAACGCAGTAGGAGGAATCATCTTTTAAATTTGTTTAATCAGATTAAAAAGTGGAGATTAAAAAGTAGAGATTAAAAAGTGTGCTTCTCTTATGTAGACATAATTTCCAGTCTTTAAAAGATGAGTATTTGCAGGGTATTATTTTAAAGTGAGGCTGTAATGGTGCTGATTTTTAAATCTCCTAATTTTCTCAGAGATCAGTTGCAGAGCTGTAATTAAAAGGTTGATTTATACAGAAATGGAACTCCAAAACTCTACTGCACTACAAAACTGACCAGTTGGAAGCATGGGGTATAATGTTCAAGGATATTTGTCAGATTTCCAGGATTCCACAGAAAAATTTGTTTACTTGTTTTTATTACCTTGTTTATAAAACAATACATGTTTTGTTTCAAATTACTCTAAATTTCTGGGAAGTGAGGCTTGAAGAGTTGCTTTCCTCTGCGTGGTTCTGATGATTGTTCAGTTTGCTACCTCCCTGTTTATTCTGGTAAAAGGTAAGTCTGGGGAAAAATATGTCTGGAAATTAGAAAGGAAGGTGTAAAAGTGAACAATAAGTGGACAAGACAGGATTGCTTAGAGAAGACTGACTTGGCTACTAACTTTTCAGTTGGTCAAGATTCTTGATCTTCTCCCACGATTGATGCATAATTGATGGAATTTTGATGAAATTTCAGTTAAAAAGGTACAGCCTAAGGTCACACAATCATTAATAGCATAAAAACCAATTAAATATAGGATAGTTTTCCAGCAGGGATGTATTTCTACTCTTTATCTTCGTTGAGTAGCCTCACAGCCATGTGTT